TGGACCCAGGCTGTGCGGCTACTCAGCGTCCCCGGGGGATCTTGTCAGGACGGAGTGTTGTGCCCCTGTATCTACTAGGAAGGTTACTGGTTGCCCCCCTACTTGTAGGGTTAACCTTGGCTGGGGGGGGGCTCCTGGCCTCGACCCTCCTAATCCTCTAAATTTAGGAGAGATACCGGGGGTTGGGGTTTGGCGTGCCGGTTTCGATTTTGCTTTCTCCGGCATTCACGCGCCCAATGTCCTTTTTCCTTGCAATAGGCGCATTGATCCTTCTCCAATCTAGGTCCTCTTCGTTCTCCCCCCTGTCTATCCTGCCTTGGTCTTTGTCCTGACACTACTGTGGCCATCAGCCTTGTCAGTTCCCTATGCCGCTTCCTGTCCCTCGTATTTTCTCTCTCTTCCATCTCCTTCTGAAGTCTTTCCTCCCTTTCCATGTTTTCCCTTCTCCAGCGCTCCTCTCTTTCCTCTGGACTTTCTCTCTTATTGAAAACTTTCTCTGCCTCTTTTAACAAATCTGACACTGTCTGTCCTTGTAAATTATCCAGTCGCTGCAATTTATTTCGGATGTCCGGAGCCGACTGCCAAATGAAGGCCATGGCGAGGCCCATAGCCTGCCCCGGATCCTCGGGATCGTACGGGGTATACATACGATAGGCGTCTTTCAACCGTTCGAGAAAGGCTGCCGGTGTCTCCTCTGATTTCTGCAACACCTGCTTTACCTGGGCCAAATTAGTGGGGCGCCTAGCGGCCCCCCGGAGACCCGCTATAAGCAACTGGCGATAAAGACGCAGATGGGTCCTACCTGCATCGGTGGTGAAGTCCCAATTGGGTCTAGTCAAGGGAAAAGCAGCGTCAATCTCGTTAGGGAGTTGGGTCAGCTGGCCATCTGCTCCCCTCACATTCTTACGAGCCTCGAGGAGGACTCGCTGCTTCTCTTCAGTGGTGAGGAGTACCTGCAGGAGCTGCTGGCAATCATCCCAGGGCTGATGTGTCACCAAAACTGATTCTAAAAGAGAGGTTAACTGTGAGGGGTCCTTAGAAAAAGGAGGATTGTTATTTTTCCAGTTATACAGATCGGAAGCAGAGAATGGCCAGTACTGGGGTTGGCCGTCTGGCCCTGTCCGCAGTGGCAGGGCGGTGGAATCGGCGGGGGCTTGTTCTCTTCTTCCTCTCAGGCGGCCGGCGACGGGTGACGAAGCGGTCCTCTCGGGAGGTCGAGCCGCCGCCGGTTGCCTGGCTGGCTCAGCTTCCGCCTCGTCCGGTCGTTGTCCCGCAGCTAGTGGTGCCTCCTGGTATGGAGGTGGACCCTCCGCCAGAAGGTCCATAAGCAGGTCATCTCCATCTGGAAGAACTTTCGGTTTAGACTTCTCGGGTGAGGGGCGCACGAGGGCAGGGTACAGATTGGAGCGGGAAGCGGCAGGGGTCAGGAGTGGGTTTAAGGGAGGGGGGAAGAGAAGGTGCGGACGGTTTAGGGGGTCGGGAGTGGGAGGAAAAAAGGGGGGTCATTCCGGGGAGGAATGGCTTGACCCATGCGGGTGGTTTCTGGACTAAAGCCTCCCAGGTGATGATGTAATCCACCTGGTCAGGGTGTCCGTGTGGTCCAGGATCCATGACTTTTCCTTTTACAAGACTAATAATGTTAGGACTGAAGGTACCATCTCGTGGCCATCCGACATCAAGGGTGGGCCATTCGGAGGCGCAGAAGGTGACCCATTTTCTCTTATGCACATCGGCCGATTGATTATGTGCGTATTCCTGTACTTTCTTCCAATGATCCAAGGTTAGAGAAAGAGGGGTGGTAACCGACTGTCCCATTTTTTCTAAACTAAGAACAGCACAAACTCCTACCACGAATAGAAAACACAGAGACAGACAACAAATTTTCGCAGCGCGGCTTTGGCAAAAAACCGAAAGTGATCTTTCTGAAGGGAGAGGGGCCCTCCTCTCGCCTTCCCAGAGCAGGACCAAAAATCCTTCTCCCTGAGGGGGAGGTCCCGAACAGGGCGGGAAACTGCCCAAACATAAACCTGCGATGTCAGTCGTGGAATCTGTCACCGCGCAGTATCCCCTGGGACGTCCCCCAGGGCCGCGGTCGGGAGTTCTGAACCCGTCGGTTCCTCCTCGGCGTGCCAGCAACCGATGTACACAGCTGAGTACTACAGACGCGGGCGCAAACACAACATAGAACAACAACAGACATACAGTGGATCCACACAAGGCTTACCTCCCAACGGTGGGTCGGTGGTCCCTGGGTGGGGGTCTCTAATCCTGGACGAGCCCCCAAATGAAAGACCCCAGAGGAGTGCTTTCTCTTCAGGGAGACCCTTCCCAAGGATCAGCCGAGACCACGGATTGGATGCAAACTGCAAGAGGCTTTATTGCTCACACACGGGTACCCGGGCGTCTTGGTCTCTCGGGAACCAAGCGCACCGAGCAAGAAAACGGGGCCCTTTTTATAGCAACAAGCGCGGTACAGAAGCGAGGTGCACGGTTACAGAGTCCCTATTGGTTAGTTTAAATGAGGCGAGGGGTGAGCTTTAGAACAGCCAACTCGGGTACAAGGAAGTCAGATAAGGCTGACTAGGCTCAATCTAGGATACACAGTGGTCGGGACATTCTCGGAGCTACCCGCCCTCATCACCAGGTGGTCAACCATAGATATCCTGTTTGATAATTACTCTGGCGCCAGGGCCCCTGACCTGAGTCCGAACTCCCTCAGCACCAGGTGGCCAACTACAGATATCCTGTTTGGTAATCACTCTGGCGCCAGGGCCCTTAGCCTGAATCTGAACTCATGGTTACTTTTTAGACAGATGTTTCTTGCAGTTGGGGTCTTTCATTAGGTGGTGGTAATCCTGTGGGCAGGGACCCACAGCCAAAGTCCTAAGAAGAATGCCAGGACCCCTGAAGGGTGAGTTCAGATCCCTGAGTTACTCAACAGTCCAAAGGACCCCTGAAGGGTGAGTTCAGATCCCTGAGTTACTCAACAGTCCAAAGGCCATTCTCCCTTCTGCTTAACAGCTCTCCCATTCACATCAAACTAGCAGGCATGCTGAGACAAACTTACTCGTTTTGTTACTTCTTTAATCCAAATATATGTATTTAGAGTTATTAAAGTGGGGATGTCATGCCACGATTGATCTATCTGAAGATAATGTACTTGTCTTTCAGGGTCTTTGTGCTCTGGAAGTCTATTGAAATTCAAGCTTGAAGGATGGCTTGGAAAAAGTTATGGCCTGCAAGGAAATTTGCTGTCCAGTGGAGTTGACAGAGACATACACCCTCAGCTCTACGAAGTAGACTCCAGGAAGAGCAGCAGACCAAGCACAGGGAGGAGCAGGGCAGTGGCAGCAAGCTTGGCTGCAGCCTGAGGGCTGAGGATGGCTTTCCTTGCCTGTTTCCTTCCTCCATTCCCTCTTCCACCAGCATAATGTGGCAGCTCCAAAATTCTGCCTTCTGTCCTTAGGAGTTGGCACTGGTGGATGTCCCAGCTGCTCTGTTGCTTTCCCTTTTTGTTGCTTGGCTTTTATAGTTTTTCTTATGTTATCTAGTATCCTCTAAGATCTTGTTTTAATTTTTGTGGATAATCCATAGGAGCAGGACTGCTAGGTTTTATGGTAGTTCTATTTTTAATTTTGTGACTAATCTGCACACCTTTTTAAGGACGTCTATGGCTCGTGCTGGAGAGAGCTGGTCTGTCGTCTTACTCTCTACCCCGTTCTTCCATCTCCAGGAAACAGAAGTGCTGCCTGCCGCTTCTTCAGCACACTGCTCCTGCTACCCCCCTTTTGGTTTCCAGGATATAACCTGACCCTTAACTTGTTCTTAAAGATCCATGTCAAGTCAAAATACCCCATGACCTGGTCTTGTCACCTAGCTAGATTTACTTGCTCTCTGCTGGAGTCTCTAGAGCTCCTGTCTCTGTTGTTTGGGACACATGATAGAGATGTTGTCTTGGCCTTGGCCTGAATTTTTGTTTTAACTGAACTACCATCTCTTGAAGGCAGGGACTCTGTCTCCTCTGAGGACTTTGCAAAATATGTTTCTTACCATGAGAGGCAGAAGTCATAGAAACTGTATGTGTGTTACAGGTTTAGAAGACAGGAGCTTTAAGTCAGTTGCTCTGGAAACATAAAGAGGACCCTAGGGAGTAAGGTCCAAGTGCACAGGGCACTGTTCATCCCTATAGAGATAAATGAATGGGATGGGGAGAGAGAAAAGGTCAGTGACACCACCATTCTTAGCAAGCAGGGCTTGTAATAGGCAGGCTTAGAGGTTGGATCTGACTGCACCTGAGCTGTTCAGTGTGGGATATTTACGGGTAGGGTCGACAGGTACATGCCAGGAACAGGAAGTGGAGCTGACCTCAGAGGAAGTCAGCAGCTGCTTGAAGCAGGGGCCAGTCTAGCGGCAGTCTGAATAACACTGCTTCTAGCATCCTGTGCTGGAGAGCCCTTGGCTTCCAACCGTGGTATGCCTAGCCAGCAGTGCTGTCTGAGTGGTTAGCCCACAGCGAAGATGACAGGCTGAGCCTACCCTTGCCTGTCAATGGGAGGAAAAGGAAGAGGAGTGGGCTTCTCAGTGCTCTTAGGAGCTATGAGAATAGCTCCATCCGTCCTGCTTTTCCCTTACCCTCTCACACCTCTCCATCTCATTGTCCAGGCTGCTGCCTCCCAAACTGGGCAGTGCGTGGAGGGAGAAGCATGCTAGAATTAACGGAGGTTCTGAGGCTCTGCCCTGGAGAACCCTCTGGCTGGTGTGGCCAGGGCTAGCAATCTGCCATATCTCTAGAGGCCCACCAGGAACTGCGGAAGGATGGATGCAGGACTAACTAAGTAGCTGGAGAATTAGCTCCTTTGTCCAACTTGATTTTTTCATAATTTCACAAAGGTCGGCTCTTTCTTTAGAAATCAGAAAAAGGATTATTGTTATAAGAAATAAAACACAGCTGCTATCCTGAATTGATCTTGCAATAACCATATACATCCCTATTTCCACAGGTGGACTTGACCTCATCTTCTTGCCAGGCCTTGGGTTTGACAAAGATGGCAACCGGCTAGGGCGGGGCAAGGGCTACTATGACACCTACTTGAAGCGCTGTATGCAGCATCAGGAAGTGAAGCCCTACACCTTGGCTTTGGCTTTCAAAGAGCAGATCTGTCTCCAGGTCCCAGTGGATGAACACGACATGAAAGTAGATGAAGTCCTTTATGAAGACTCCCCGGCATCTTAAGTCACATGAGGACAGCCACCCTCACAGTTGTGTACCAATGTGAAGAAAATCTGTGTATTTTCCTCTTGTCAAAAATGAGTCAACATGGCACATTAAAGTGAATATGTATTGTGTTTCTTTAGTGTACATATAAAATATCTAACACAAAACCATCTTTAGAAATCAGTAGAAGTAGCCGGGCGTTGGTGGTGCACGCCTTTAATCCCAGCACTCGGGAGGCAGAGGCAGGCGGATCTCTGTGAGTTCGAGACCAGCCTGGACTACCGAGCGAGTTCCAGGACAGCCTCCAAAGCCACAGAGAAACTCTGTCTCGGAAAACCAAAAAAAAAAGAAAAAAAAAAAAAAAAAGAAAAAAGAAATCAGTAGAAGTGTGAATACCAGGATATTAATTCAAATGGAGGCAAAAGCTGTATGGCTTCAGCTTAGCTTCCTGGTGTTAAGATGGTAAGCTGACCTCTCTGCCTTGCAGTTTAAATTAAATATTTATGAGTATTAGAGAATCATAGAAATTGGGGATGACGGCTCCATTCCCTAATGTCCGGCCATTGCTCTGGCTTATGGAGACTCAGCTGTTATTAATTTGTTTGGCAGTACTTGGTATGGATAAAATATTCCCCAAGAATAATATACCACCTAATCATGACTTCAGTTACTCACCTCAAGGTTTAAAGGGCGATACTTTGTAGTTCCACGAGAGGAACCTTTGGTGGTTTACATACTTTGATTCAGTTGATTGGTCTCTGGCCCTTAGGACTTTAAGATCCGATATACATTGGGAATGATTTCTGTTGGTTCGTGGATTCCATTTGGAAATGGAAGCTGCCATGGCTGGACATTGCCAGATGGCCTCACAGCCAGAGAGAGGTGATTTTGTTGCAAGGAGTATCTGGTTATCACAAGATACTCAGGGGTCTCCCTGGCCATGACTACTTGCTTTCTTGCTTTGGTCCCACCTCAGCCTGTCAGTGGCTCCTGCTGGCATTGCCTCTGGGATGCCTTTTACACCTGTTCTCCCCTTCCTCTCATCTTACTGCTGTTTTCTTCAGCCCGCAGTGTTTCTCAGCTGAAGTAGGCCGCTTCATGCTCAGCTTCTTTTACATCCAATTTATTTCAGGGATGGTCTGATAAGATGTGACTCTAAAGCTCCCAATTGGAATATTTTGGAGACTTAATAACAGTTAGATGTTGGGAGCACTTCACGTACCTTAATCTTTTGGAGCCAACCTGTACTTTCTTTTTTTTTTTTTTTTTGTCTTTTTTTAAATCATTTTTTATTTTAATTTTAAATAGCTTGTTTTACATGTCAATCCCAGTTCCCTCTCCCTCCCCTCCTCCCGCACTCCCCTCCCCCCCCACCCTCCCACCCTATTGCCAAATCCTTCCACATAGGGGATATCTAGAGTCTGTCATTTTACTCTGGGTAGGGTCCAGGCACTCCCCTAAGAGTCCAGGCTGAGGGAGCATCCCTCTTTGTTCTATAGGCACACGAAGACTGTTTGTATACCAGGGATAGACACTGATCCACAGCTCAGGGCCCCATAGGTTGCCCAGGCCTTCTCGCTGACACTCACATTTGGGGGGTCCAGATCAGTCCCATGCTGGCCTCCCCACTGTCGCTCTGGGGTCCAAGAGCTCTCCACTGTTCAGATCAGCTGTCTCTGCTGGTTTTGCCAGCCCATTCTTTGCCAATTTGCTCATCACTCCTCTCTCTCTGTCACTGGGTTCCTTGGGTTCAGTTCAGTGATTAATTGTGTGTTTGCCTCTGCTTCCATCAGTCACAGGATGAAGGCTCCCGGATGGTTATAGACATCAAGTTCATTATCACGAATGGGCATTTGAGGTGGTCTCTCCACTATTGCTTAGCTTGCCAATTGGTGTTATCCCTTTAGATCACTCGAGGTCGCTCTGGTGCCTGATCTGTGTTCAATCCTATGATTCCTTCTTCCCCCTATTCTACCCCACCCCCTCAACTTCCTTTTCCCCCATGACCAACTCTATTCCTTTTCACCCCCTCTCTTCTTCCCAGGTCCCACTCCCCCCCACTCCTCGCCGTGTTCCCCATCCATTCAGAGGATCTTGTCTCCATCCTCTTCTCTTGGGTACTATGCATATATGCATATCTTTTAGGTTCTTTCCTGTTTCCCAGACTCTCTATCAGTGGAAGTGCAGACTGGCACTATCCTGATCCATGTCTAAAATCCATATATGAGTGAGTACATACCATGTTTGGCTTTTTGCGACTGGGTTACCTCACTCAGGATGGTTTCTTCCAGTGCTATCCATTTCCCTGCGAATTTCAAGATTCCATTGTTTTTTTCTGCTGAATAATACTCCATTGTGTAAATGTACTACATTTTCTCTATCCACTCTTCAGTTGAGGGGCATCTAGGTTGCTTCCAGGTTCTGGCTATTACAAATAATGCTGCTATGAACATAGTGGAGCAGATGCCCTTGTTGTATGAACTTGCCTCATTTGGATATATGCCTAAGAGTGGAATTGCTGGGTCTAGTGGTAGATTAATTCCCATTTTCCTGAGGAATCTCCATACTGATTTCCAAAGAGGCTGTATGAGTTGGCACTTCCACCAGCAGTGGAGGAGTGTTCCTCTCTCTCCACATCCTCTCCAGCATAAATTGTCTTCGGTGTTTTTGATTTTAGCCATTCTGACAGGAGTAAGATGGTATCTCAGAGTTGTTTTGATTTGCATTTCCCTGATGGCTAAGGATGTTGAGCACTTTCTTAAGTGTCTCTTGGCCATTTTAGCCTCCTCTAATGAGAATTCTCTATTTAGCTCTGTACCCCACCTTTTAATTGGATCCTTTGGTGTTTTGGAGACTTGTTTCTTGAGTTGTTTGTAAATTTTGGAGATTAGCCCTCTGTCAGATGTAGGGTTAGTGAATATCTTTTCCCATTCTGTGGCCTGCCTTTTTGTCTTTTTGACTGTGTCCTTTGCCTTACAGAAGCTTTTTAGTTTCAGAAGGTCCTATTTGTTAATTGTCGATCTCAGTGCCTGTGCCACTGGTGTTATGTTTAGGAAGTGGTCTCCTGTACCAACTCGTTGAAGAGTATCTCCCACTTTCTCTTCTAAAAGTTTCAGGGTGGCTGGATATATGTTGAGATCTTTGATCCATTTGGACTTAAGTTTTCTACAAGGCGATAAACATGGATCTATCTGCAGTCTTCTGCATACCAGTACCCAGTTATGCCAGCACCATTTGTTGAAGATGCTTTCTTTTTTCCATTGTACAGTTTTAGCTTCTTTGTCAAAAATCAAGTGTTCATAGGTGTGTGGGTTAAAATCAGAGCTTTCAATTCGGTTCCATTGGTCTACCTGCCTATTTTTGTGCCAATACCAAGCTGTTTTCAGGACTATAGCTCTATAATAGAGCTTGAAGTCAGGTATGGTGATGCCTCCTGAAGTTCCTTTATTGTATAGGGATGTTTTAGCTATCCTGCGCCTTTTGTTTTTCCATATAAAGTTGATTAATGTTCTTTCCAAGTCCTTGAAGAATTGTGATGGAATTTTGATAGGGATTGCATTGAATCTGTAGACTGCTTTTGGCAAGATTGCCATTTTTATTATGTTGATCCTACCAGTCCAAGAGCATGGGAGATCTTTCCATTTTCTGGTATCTTCTTTGATTTCTTTCTTTAAAGACACAAAGTTCTTGATACACAGGTCTTTAATTTCCTTGGTTAACATTATCCCCAGATATTTGATGCTGTTTTTGGCTATTGTAAAGGGTGATGTTTCTCTGATTTCTTTCTCAGTCACTTCATCATCTGTATATAATAGGGCCACTGATTTTTTTGAGTTTACCTTGTATCCTGCCACATTGCTGAAGGTGTTTATCAACTCTAGGAGTAACCTTGCGGAGGTTTTTGGGTCACTTATGTAAACTATCATATCATCTGCAAATAGTGAAAGTTTGACTTCTTGTTTTCCTAATTGTATCCCCTTTATCTCCTTTTGTTGTCTTATTGCTGTAGCTAGAACTTCAAGTACAATATTGAAGAGATATGGAGAGAGTGGACAGCCTTGTCTTGTTCCTGATTTTAGAGGAATTGCTTTGAGTTTCTCTCCATTTAGTTTGATGTTAGCTGTTGGTTTACTGTATATTGCTTTTATTATATTCAGGTACATTCCTGTTATCCCTGAACTCTCTAGGACCTTTATCATGAAGGGGTGCTGGATTTTGTCAAAGGCTTTTTCAGCATCTAGTGAGATGATCATGTGGTTTTTCTTTGCAGATTGTTAATATGGTGGATTACATTGATAGATTTTCTAATGTTGAACCATCCCTGCATTCCTGGGATGAAGCCTACTTGATCATAGTGGATGATTTTTCTGATGCATTCTTGAATCGGGTTTGCGAGTATTTTATTGAGTATTTTTCCATCGATGTTCATGAGGGACATTGGTCTATGGTTTTCTTTCTTAGTTGTGTCTTTGTATGGCTAGTGTATCAAGGTAATTGTAGCCTCGTAGAAAGAGTTTGGCAGTGAGCCTCCTGCTTCTATTGTGTGGAATACTTTGAGGAGTATTGGAATTAGCTCTTCTTTGAATTTCTGGTAGAATTCTGCACTGAAGCCATCTGGGCCTGGGCTTTTTTTATTTGGGAGACTTTTGATGACTGCTTCTATTTCACTAGGGGTTATAGGTCTGTTTAGATTATTTATCTGTTCTTGATTTAGTTTTGGCAAGTGATATCTATCCAGGAAATTGTCCATTTCCTTTAAATTTTCAAATTTTGTGGAGTACAGATTTTCAAAGTATGCCCTGATGATTCTCTGGATTTCCTCAGAGTCTGTTGTTATGTCCCCTTTTTCATCCCTGATTTTGTTAATTAGCATGCTCTCCCTCTGTCTTTTGGTTAGTTTGGACAGAGGTTTATCTATTTTGTTGATTTTCTCAAAGAACCAACTCTTTGTTTCATTGATTCTTCTCAGTATTTTTCTGGTTTCTACTTGATTGATTTCAACCCTCAATTTGATTATTTCCTGGTGTCTGCTCCTCCTGGGGGAGTTTGCTTCTTTTTGTTCTAGAACATTCAGCTGTGCTATTAATTCTCTAGTATGACTGTTCTCCAGTTTTTTCATGTGGGCACTTAG